AATAAGAAATATTGGAAACCACACTATATAACACTATACCTACTGATACAACGTTTAGATTATAATATATATTGTATATATCCACTCATTTCGTAGTAAAAATATTGTGAGAAACAGAGAAGCAAAAARTAATTATTAAAATTATTGTAATTAGTAATTACTATTTATAAATTAAATCGTTACATTTAATTTATAAATAATAAATTCGCGTTCATAAGTAACAAAGGATTTCTAGATCTTCATATCTTTACAATAATAGTACAGCACAGACGCTGAGATTCCATATTATAATTTTATGTAGGTATAATAAATCTATATATATATATAAATAAAATAAATCTTATATATAGATTCAGGTTGGTATACGGTATACCTCAATGTCTGTTGATATGTCTCTAATAAGAAATCTTTGACTTTAATAACTATTYTKATWATCATTTTTGTACCTATTACCCATTTTTAGCTATAAACATTTAAAATGTTTAAATTACGAATATATCACTATATCAGTCAATTAAATTTTTCTATAAACCTTATCAGTAGAACCTGAAGTCACGTTCGATTAATTTTTGCTATTATGCGTGTGTATATATTTTAAAAATATCTTGACATATAATATACGCTCATTAATTAAAAATATTTACAGTATAATATTATAAAAGTTCTATTATTTCCTTTTTAAAATTGATGATATAATTAAATAATTATCAAGTGTTTGTTTTTATTGGAAAAATTAGTTAAATTTTAGGATTCTGAGCGGAGCAATGTTCATGCATGTCATATTGTATATAGTGCGTTCCATAAGTTTTGAGATAACCATTCTAAAATTAATACTAGTATTTAGATAATTATGAAATTCTGGTAAATTATTACGATAACACCTAAAAACCTTTTGGATCGCCTCTGTAAAAGAATTGTACGCGTTAGGCCCGCTTTGGTGGAAAGATCGGTCTTTTGTCATGCTGCACAATAACGCTCCAGCACACACCCCATACATTGTCACTCAATTTTTGGCCAAAAAAATGGTTCCCGCCCGCCCACCACGCTCCATGTTAACCAAATTTGAGTTCTCCGGACTATTTCTTGTTCCYAAGGTTGAAGATAGAGCTCAAGGGGCACCATTTTGCCACCATTGGAAACGATTCAATAAGCGATGACCCAAAAGTTCAAGAACATTCMTGAAGCTGATTTTTTACGGGCAATGGAAAAATTGAGTGATTGTGCAAGAAAGTGTATAGAATGTAATGGTGAATATTTTGAATAAAAAATTGCTTAAAACATTTTTTAACTGTTTTTTTTTGTAACATCAGTAACCTTAGTCACAAAACTTATAAGACGCACTGTGTATTATTGTACATATGTATACTATATAGTATATATACCTACCTATTATATATTTCATTTACAATGATATGTATTATCCTGTTCTATAAAAAAAGTTTTTTGAGCCTGTCATCAACTTTTATAGCACTAAAAATTCAACTTCCAACCATAATGGTGGTTCATGGTACCTAATACATTGGATTTAGTCGATATTTTATGGAAAATTACAGTAATTACTTTCTAGATAATTGTGAAAAACCAATAATAGTTTATGGAAAACACCAAACAAAATTTTCGATATTACGCATATTATTTTTTATAAACAATGAATAATTTTCTAAATATTTCTACTAAACTTAAGCTGTCCATAGCTATTATAGTATTGATTCTGTTCTACGAACCAATTCTATGGTATACTTACGTAGTATTAATATAGACTTATAAGTTAATAACAATGTATATCAATATAATGATACTATTAGAGAGTAAAGAAGATGCACTTTGCTAGACAACTATAATAGATTTTTCTGAAAAAGTGGGTGTAGTGGCCGGGTGGATTAAGGCGTCGGTCGCGACGTTTACCGTCGCCGGTTCGGATCTCGGTCATGGACGGCATCGCTTTCCGGGCAGTTCACGCTGTCTGGAAAGAGAGGCCCCTCCCCCCCACCGAGGTATAGCAGAAACCTATTGTGTCTATTCGAAATTCTGCCAAAAGCACTCACGTCTACCTTCCACCACCGTTAAAAAAACCTACAGTACCCCCCCCCCCACCAATGGCCTATGTTGCCGCGGGCTAACGAAAAAAAATAAATAGATTTTTCATTCAAATTAAGTGAACATGTTGTAATAATTTTATTCACATAGTACTAAACTAATTAAAAAAATTAATGATATTAATTTATTATTCTTACGTTTCATGACAAAGATCGAGAAATACTGGGCCAATACGCGCGTGGAGTGAGGTCCAGGGACCAGGGTATTAATTGTTGTAACGTAAATTGATCACACTCGATTCAATAAATCAAAACACTTTTAATGCAAAATTATTATTAACTATTATTTTTAATTTTTTATCATACACATCTAAATTAAAAAATATTGTAATTTGATGATTTTTAGAGTCTCGTATAATATCATAAATCATAATTTCACTTCTAAAATTTAAATGTTAATAATATTATATCATAATTGTTGTATATAAGTCATAATAATATAATAGTATTATAATAACATAGAATTTGTGTTGTCGAAGCAATATTTATACTTGTTTAAAGAAAAAWAAAATGTTTAAGTAAATGGAGCATAATAATATAGGTACATATAAATTGTAGAAATATATAATATTATTATGTACTGCGGACGGAAACACAGTATATAATATATGTATATATATTATATACATATAAAGTGACGCGCATTGAAACATATATACAATCTCTAAGTATATAATGAAGTTTGCCACGATTAAACAGTTCGTAGAAGTCTAATAATATTCTCAAGGAAATATTTGCGAGAAACTTGCAGCATATATAGACCAGTGCCTCTGAACAACGACGAGGGTCCTCCGAAAGTTTAATAAACGGAAATCACGCTCACATACGCTGCCTGTATCATTATTATTATTATATAGAACTTGTCGGGTGCCTATATAAGTTAATATTCGTTAAAACTTAAACAAAGACGTCTACGAAATACCACCACATTATTATTACATTTTACATACAGCCAGTTACGCAACTATAATAAGATTTTTTTAAGTAGTGAGTGGGGGTTGGTTTAGAGATGGATTATGGTAAGGAAAAAATGAACATTTTTATAATATCTATATTTGTCCAAATTGTTAAATCGATAATGTAATATAATTAATCAAGATACCAGTAATCTATTTAACGATAATGCACACTTTATTTCAAAAACGATATAAACGTTTTAGAAAACATTTTTTTACATACCTAATTTTAATAGTCATTTAAATAACACTTTTTTGATTGATAACAATGTTTGCTTATCATMATTTTTAACGATATCGTACATTTTCAATTTATTATTCCAAATCAGAATATATTTTGGGGTAATCTACTTTTTATGTAAAAATCGAATTCTTAACGAGTAGTAATCAGATGAGTTATAAGTGTTGTACCTCGCAAAATTTGGTCAACTATACTCCACTCAATTAAACTTTAAAACTTTAAAAGGAAAAAACTTATAACTAATAATCTGTTTGTTCTAAATTTGAATATTTTTATGGATTGAAATATTTCTAATAATATTTTGCATCGGAACATGAAATCAAAAATGTATGTCGCACACATTCAAATGAGTGTAAAAACTTTAAAAAATAATAACGATAAAAATACTGAAAATTATTGTTTTTTCCAAACATTTATTTTATACTGACTTAAATATGCTAACGAACTATTTTAAAAAACGTTAGGTGTTTTCAAAAATAATCAATATATTATGTTAAGTGGATCATCCCATATAATAAATTAAATATTTATAYAGATAAAAATTGTACAATCGTCATATTATACCATTATATCGTATTATCTTAAAACTTCAACAATTTAAATCTTATAAAATATTTTGTAAATATTTTGTAACCACTAAACCTCCGCCATTTGTTGCGCTACTGAGTACAACTAATTTTTGACTCAATTTTAGCTCAATTATTATGTGGTTTGTCGCTCACGCTCACAATTTGTATGGGGCGAAGCGGCACGGACTATTCGATCCGAAAAGAAGATTTATAATGTAAGTCGGGTGTTCGGGCTGTAACAAATGTGTCGTATTCGGGCTTTCCCACGGGTCCACTGTTTCAGTTATTTATTTTTCTCTTCGGCTGCGCTTTGGAAGAGCTATTGTTGTATTTTTACAGGTGTAGAAGGACGCATATACGCGCGCGCTTGTGTTGTGTGTGTGTGTGATCGAGTAGATTTGTAAATTATATTGGACCCAACCAAACCTGTTATACTCACACACAGACACACACACACACGTTTTATTCGCTTCTTAATTCCTCATTGTTTTTTGTTTTTTTCATTTTTATTATTGTATATATGTTTTTTACATACACACGCGTGTTTATATATACACACACACACATATATATATATATTATATATGTATGTATAGTTATATTATATACATATATATTCGTTTGCACTTCTCCGAACGTCTTTTGTCCAAACGCCGACTTCGATCTGTATCTCTTTTTATTTTCCACCACCGCAGTAAATACATACATATACACGTTCATATACCTATTCCAAATTCGATTGGGAAACAATAGATCGGATTGGCGGCATCGGCGGTATGAACACAAACATACACATACACACTCAAGTACATAAACGACTTTTAAGATATAATGTAATATTATATAATATTCAAGACCCAGGCGTGGAACTCGGTCGATTTCAACGGTTAATAAGTATAATAACACAATATCATCAATTCATCATGCTTCGACTAATCGTTTTGATTAATTCTAATTGAGGGATAATAAAATATTTACACGGATTACAAATATATACCACTCCAACTTCCAAGTCCCGACAATAATATATATTTTCATATCATACGAGTACATAAAATTATAATATTATATGTGTTACCAAATAAAACCCAATACGTACAACGTACGAGTGTTTGAAGGTCTGTACGATATCATATTACACGATATATGTGTAAGACCTAGGTGTATAKGTATGACATTTTACAGCAGTGGGTTGATCGTACCTGTAACGTTCACAGGATTTTTGTTCCAGAAGAAATATTTACACGCATATACGAACTCTTTTAACCTATATAATATATATAAGTGTGTAATTATATACAATGACAATTTGACACGCGTCAAAAATCGTCGCATTTTTATACGCACGCGTTGATTAGATAATTGCATTTTTTCAATGAATACTTTGTGTACCTATATGTATATATGTATACTAGAGGCCAATACGAGATGTAATTTGCATAATATATAGGTTTGATGATCATTTTAAAACGTTTTAACATTATTAATATACCATTAAAAAAGAACAGATAGCTCTAAATATTAGTGTATAAATTATGATATATATATATTAATTTATAATATAAATCATTACATACAATGACTATTTGGAAAATTTACTTCTGTTAGATCACCTGTTTTATAATACCGCTGCAGTTGATACCCAAAAATGTTTCCGTACGCTGATCACATTTTGAATGATAAATTGCGTTTTTAATATTATAATCATTTCACGAGTTCAACAAACCCGTAACGTATGCAACGGTGTAAAATGTGAATATAACACTAACTTAGAGTAATTATTATTGCATTTTTTAACGATTAAAACATCAAATTGTTTTACCGGCCGACTAATAAAAATAGTTGGGTTTTCTGCGATTATTCGATTATATCACTTGCAAATCGTTTTCTATCTGCAGTAAGACGTACCTGTAAGGTTCACAAATCTTTCTTCTGCGATAAAATATTAACACGGAACAGCACGTTCGATTTTAAAGTACGTGCAGATAGAAAGCGATTTACAATTAGCGTTTTCCAACTCTTTATTGCTACATGGACGACAAATACGATTAAATGCAGAATTATAAAATATAGGTAACTATTTCGATTTATCTCTATAACTCTTAAAACAGTTCGAACTTAGAAAACGAACAWTCGCAAATATGTTCTGATAGAAATTATAGAATACTGTTTTTAGGTTATTACTCATTGTACCTATTACAAATTTTGTTTAAGGTCAATTAAAAAGATGCTTAATTATTTTTGTTACAAACTTTATATTTTCAATTTTGAAATACAATAATATCTATATCTACATAATGAATAAATTAAATAAAAAATGTATCAATCATTCAATTATCTGCTTTTCTATGCTATTTTATTATTTTACATTTTATAAACTTAATAGGTACCTATTAAGAAAAATATATTATAATAAATTCATCAAATGTTGGAATTGTATTTTGTTTACAATCAATAAGAAACAGTGATACCTAAACATGTATGAAACACGATTTAGATGCCTACTATATWAATATTCATATTTTTATATAATTAAAAAAAAACGAAATAGTTAAACTTTAAACTTAAAATAAATAATTATATTAGTACCTACCTATGCTTATACACTGCAAAAACGCATATAATAATCATTATAATCTTTCTGTAATAACTGTTTTATATACAGTGAAAAATAATGCTAACCTAACTTTCAATTTGATAAAATTAAAATTTAAGATRCAAATAATTAAAAGGTAATAATAATTAAAAAGTAACTTTTAATTTAACTTTATAAATTAATTAAAATAATTAACCCATTATAAACTAAGTTTATTWATAATATTAAGTTCTCTAACCTTGGATGATGTATTTTTTACTCGCATAATACCTATTACTACCAATAAATTAATTGTGCTATTTGTTTTTCTTGTCTCGTATTAATTATGTTATATTTTATAATTTCAGATACTTCCCCTATGTCTTCCAGAAACTTCCCAGCGTCGTTTTGGAATAGTAATTATCACTCACATCACTCCACTAGTCAAGTGTACCATCCCGACACAATGTACCATCATCATGGTACTGCTGGTAACCCCGCAGATCCATGGCAGACACATTACCAACAATATACAGCTGCTGCAGCTCATCACCATCACAGGTATTTTTTGAGATTCTATGTACACACCTTGAATATAATTTTTTTTAACCCAATATCGCCAATATTTTATAGATTACAGTTTAGAATTTTATGATAAGTGATGTTTTATCAATCAGTTGAATCTTATTGATTTAAGAGTCAGTACCTAGGTACTATACAATCAATTGTTTTATATAATTGAATTTATATARGTATGATATGTAACTTTACTTTAAAAATATTACCTATATAATACAGTCTTAAACTTTAGTATACCTACTAAATATATATGATTCGCCATATATAGTTATAGCAATATGATTTTAAATATTAATGTAAAAATGAATATATAAATAACGTCATGAAATAATTGGTGAATGGTTAAAATATGTTGACGAAATATTTAGTAAAATATAATATAATAATAAAAGTATAATACTTCCATCGAGTGCACTCGAGTATGAAATTATTGCATATTTTTTTTTCGATTTGTCTTGATATATGTTTATATTATGGCTTATATAATATGTATATATGTATAGGTACCGGAATTTTGTAGTAAACTTGTAACTGTTAGTTTTTTTTACAAATTACACATTTATACATATATATGCCATACAGGGTAATGATTAATGAGATATTATTTTAACATTAATCATAAATAAATGATTTTAATTCATTTTTTTATGATGTAAACTATAGGTACCAATAATTTCTCAAAACGTTGTAATGTACTTATACTCAGTGAGGGGAGAGGGTTAAGAATAAATTAAACTAAGTTTTCGTATTTAAATAATATAAGTAACTCATTTATTGGGAAAATAGACAATGGGGGAAGAAGTAAACACTCAAATTCCCTCTGCAGGATACTCCACTGCTTACATTTTTATCATGAGAACTTAATTTATAACAGTCATTAYGCCAAGTGAACCTAATATTAAATCATGTAAATTTTTGCTACAGGGCCGTGCACGAATACCATCATCACCATAACATGGCCGCCCAGTACGGCAGCCTACTACTACCGCCACCGACTTCGAGACTGGCGCCACCACCGCCACCGCCACCTCCACCATCTAGTCACCCACATCCACACCAGTATCACGGTAAAGCTGGCATGGAACCGTGGCCCAATAGCGCCCATCATCCGGCCTTGGATACTGGCACGTCTTACTCGTCATATCCCACTGTTCCAGGTAATAATAATCATAAATAATGTAATATACCTATTATGATATAATAATATTTAGATCTAATAATATATGTGATTTTGTATTGCAATACTAACCTTGTACCAATATCAATTAGGTATGTCCGAAAAAACAGGGTACACTGCAGTATATTTGAATTACCCATATTGCTCAGGACCTTATATGGCCTATACATATTTTTGAATTCTGTTAAATTCTGCAGAACATGAAACTAGTCTATTGGATCATTAATCTCCTATCGATATAAAATCTGTATAGTGGCTAGGTGAGGCGCGGTCGTACGCTCAATCTGCGGAAACACACTGAGCGTATGTACCGGCCGCAGTTGCTAGCTCCCGGATGGGTGACCACCTGGGATTTTTAGCAACATGTCCTTGCCACACATACACAAACACGTGTTACAATCCTACCCATCACTTAAGAACCTACTGACAAATATACAAAATAACCCCTACCGTACCACCCCACACCCAATGTCCTATGTTGCCGCGGGTTCCCCTTAAAAAAAAAAAATAATAAAAAAAAAATCTGTATAGTCTATACTGAGTAATGTAGGTAACTGAGAGTTTATCCAGTTTTCGCGGTTAAATGTGTCAAGATTACAAGCGTGTTCGATGGTGGATATTTAAATATACGAAAACATTGCAGAAGGCTTAAGAAAAAAATGTATTTAACGATCCCGATATTCCAATCTAACTAGGCAAAATGTCCAACCTAATGATTTATTATATAGTAAATAATATATATCTAGGGTGATTTTTATAAGCGTGCTCGCCGTATTTGTATGCATAAATTATACATAATACTATTCAAATTTTGTTTTTCGAATGTTTTAATACACTTGCATAGGACTTGAATACTTGAGATTTTTTTGTATTGCTGAAGCATGATCTTGTATTCTTGTGACGATACAAACTTATTTTTTTTTAAATTTTAACCGTTTCCCTCCCCTTTCGCTTTTAATTATTATTCAACAGATATTTTCTTGAGAATTTCAATGTATCTGAATCAAAATTCCAACGAATTGTTTTTGAGGCATATAACTTTGTATATGATGGATAATAGTAAATATAGGTGCTTAGATATATTTTAAAATATTACTWATTAGTAATTAGTAACTATAAGTACTTACATGTTAGATATAGTATATATACATGATTGAATTATACGGTCCCGAGTAGTATTACCTATATAATATGCAGGAAACCACTGCCATCGAAATAACAATATTATTTAACGGCCATTTATTAAAAAAATACAATATCCACAACAATAATTCAAGAGTTGAACTTCAACCRACAGTATGCAGGTTTGACGTCTCGACTAAAAAAAAAGAACGTAATCAACCACCATAATTAATGTTTGAAAAAATTATCACATCCTCCATATTATATACCCGAGCATTGATGACCAGAAACAATATAATATTTTTTTTCTTGTTTGTCTAAAGAACCTCGCAGGTGTCGAGACCAAAATATATAAATGTGCACAATGCGCGGCATTGCATATATTTATATACAAGTGGCAACAAAGGAAATTGTCGGCATCGTTACTTGCGTGTCTATACACGCTTATGTATTTGTAGTGTTTTTCTCAGCCATTATATGTAGAAAATAGAAACGTTTGCCTAATGTCTAAATATTTTATATGCATATAGTCGGTGAATGGACATTATAAAAATATTATGAAATTTGAAAAACGGCGTCATAAACTATATAATACAAACAATAAACCGAATAAACATATAATCGTATGAGTATATAATAGGTATACACAATATATGAAAAAAAAATTGCTTAAGGATTTTATGTACATACACCTATAATATAAATATATATATATATATATATATATTTATATACATAACATTATATCGTATAGATAGGTTATATTATTATAACCATATAGCCAACGTGTATGTATCGTCGCCACTGCAGCGCGGTATAGGACAGAAGGCCGCGGTTATAGTATATACTATATAGGTATACACAGACACAATGGACGATAATTTAGCAATTGCCTTGGTTTCAGTTAAACCGAAGAACCGATGCGAAAAGAATAATGATAAAGCGTGAGCGCGTATAATATATATATATAGATAATAATAATATATATGTGAAAAAACGAGTCGGCTCACGGACTTCAGGTCACGTGACCAACTGCATTGCTGACGACCGATTTGAAACTGCCAGGCACGTCATCATATCATCCATATAAAGTTAATTGAACTAAAGACCTACATCGCGGCCGCCATCTCTAGACGTATAATAATCTCATTTTGATAAACACGCATACGCGCGCGCTCGCTCGCCGCACATTACTGCAAATGCAACTGCAGTTGTCTTGATCTGCAGCGGAGCGAAATGCACGCAGAAATGTAGAGACTGCTGCGCGATGTTTGCTACCTATATAATATGTATATATTATTTATAAATGTACAATAATGATGTACTCTGGGAGCGTTAATCAGTACCTAACTAACTTACTATATGGACCTACATATGTATATACTATTGTAACCTGCACATAAATCATACTGCAGTATAGGTACTATTA